CAAGTTGTTTCCTTTTTCTTTCTTTTCCATATATCTGTGATTATAAGTAATATAAACATTTTCATCCATTGCTGTAACCAGCAGGTGGGAAGCAATTTATCGATAAGCCATGCTTTTACTAGGTACTGTTTGTTTCTGCTTACTGTTCTTGCTTCATCTAATTTTGTTTCGAAGTTAGTGTTGGAAATGTGAACTTAAAGTTTAAGTGTCTGTTACTCAATCTAGGTGTGTTGTTAGAGTCTTTCGAGGATGTTTAGTAATTATGGTTCGTGAAACTGAACGTTTAATGGTTAATATTGTTGCTTTATATATATATGGTAGGATAGTTTGTTGTTTTGTAAGAGTGGAGTTTTTTTTAATGATATAGGTTTGCTTTATATTTATCTTCCTTTCCCATACTCATTGTGCCTTATTTTATGAAGAGCCCACCTTATATTTGTTTGAGCGGGTTAGAGTCTCATATCGATTGGGGAATGAACTGATTGTTTGTTTATATCCCCTCATGAGCTAGCTTTTGGGGTTGAGTTAGTCTCAGGTGCTATATGATATATCAGAGCCAGATCTATTTCTGTTTGGGCTCATGCTCCACGGTCTAGTTGGGTCTGGGTGTGAAGGGGTGTTGGAGTGGGTTAGAGTCCCACGTTGATTGGAAATGGTCTGATAGTTTGTTTATATGGACGTGGACGATGCTTCCATCATGAGCTAGTTTTTGGGGTTGAGTTAGGCTCGGGGGTCATATTCTTACAATATTCCGACCTAGTTTTCCAATTTTTATCTTTGTTTTGGCAGCTGCAAGTGCAATATTCGTTAATGCTGAGAGGAGAAGGCTAATTAATTTGATTCCGGACAGCGTGAGGAAAGCATGGAAAGATTGGGAAATAGAAGTGCTGATTCTAGGAAGCCTCATCTTACAGATTATGCTTATTCTTTTTGGCAAACGCAGGCAGTGTGTGGCGAATTTATGGATCAGAATGACTCTATGGACATCTTACTTACTAGCAGATTGGATTGCTATTGTTTCATTAGGTATCATTGCTCAGAATACGTTGGATAAATGCAAACAAACAAGTGATGATGACAATTTCAAGGATGAATTGATGTCGTTCTGGGCGCCATTTATGCTGCTTCATCTTGGCGGTCCTGATACTATCACGGCTTATTCATTGGAGGATAACGAGCTGTGGTTAAGGCATTTAGTCGGTCTGATAATCCAGAGTGGACTAACATTCTATATCTTGCTTGTGTCCTTGCCAGGCTCTTCTTGGCTTCCATTTCTAAGCTTATTCATCTTCGTATCTGGTGTTATCAAGTTCTCTGAGCGGACATGTGCTCTTCGTTCAGCAAAAATCGAGAATCTCAGGGACTCAATGCTGACATCCCCTGATCCTGGACCAAATTATGCTAAATTCATGGAGGAATATACTTTGAAGAAAGCTGAGGGCTTCTACGTGATTGCGGATGAGGTTAAAGAAATCTCACTTCCAATTGATCATTCTTACCCTACTCGTAAAGATAAATTGCTGCTGATATCTGAAGCTTTCGATCAGTTCCAGACTTTTAAACGTCTTTTTGTGGATCTCATCCTTAGCTTCCAGGACAGAGACAACAGCCAATTTTACTTCAAGCAACTTACTCCAAAAGATGCTTTTGATGTGATCGAGACAGAGTTAGGATTTGCATATGATACCTTCTATACCAAAGCACCCGTTATTTATACTCCTCTAGGCTTCATTCTTCGTGTGATTACTTTCTCTTGCACTTTCTTTACCTTGATTTCATTTTCTTTATGTAAGGAAAGATCGAAATACCACATACTTGACTTGATTCTCACTTACCTGCTGCTGGTGGTGGCCTTTCTCCTGGAAATATGTGCATTGATCGTTTTGCTGTACTCAGACTGGACAAAGAATTGGCTGAGCAAAGGGAAACACGACAGAAAGTTTTGCCAGTCATTCCTCCTCAAAAAGCTGTGTCTGCGAAGATCAACTAATATGAGGTGGTCCAATGGCACACTGCAATACAATTTGTTGAGCTACTGTGTTGAGTTCAAGCCCCCACGGTGCTACTGGTTCCAAAAACTCTTCCGAATCAATGAGCTCTTGGAAAAACACAAGTACAAGAAGGATGAACTAGTCACCCCAGGGTTAAAAAAGCTGATCTTTGACCATTTCAAAAAGTTTGCCGGAGAAAGTAATAACAAGCATGATCATCCAGTCTTATGCACAAGTAGAGGCACTGAAGCACTTAAAGGAAATGGCTGTTCTTCCCTAGTTTGGTCGACCGAGTTAGAATTTGATCAAAGTTTCCTTATTTGGCACATTGCTACTGATCTATGCTATTACACTGACGATAGTAGTGGTACTCGTTCCATCGAATCCAAACAAAGCAAGCAGTTATCAGATTATATGTTGTATCTTTTAGTAGTGTGTCCCTTTATGCTGCCAATAGGACTTGGGATGATCAGATTTAGAGACACATGTGCTGAAGCCAAAGAGTTTTTTACAGAGAGGAAAGTCGGAAAAGACTTAACTATAGCTAGTCGCAAGTTGCTAACAGTGAATACTGAAGTTGGACCTGCAAAAGTGAAAGGGGATAGGAGCAAGAGCGTGTTGTTTGATGCGTGCATACTTGCCAAATCATTGAAAGCAAAGGGTAATCAGAGAAAATGGGAAATCATCAGTGAAGTATGGGTGGAAATGCTTGCGTATGCTGCTACACATTGCAGAGGGAACCATCACGCTCAACAGCTACGTAAAGGAGGAGAGCTTCTTACTCATGTCTGGCTTCTTATGGCACATCTTGGCATCACAGAGCAATTTCAGATAAACAGAGGTCATGCTAGAGCCAAGCTCATTGTCAAGTAAGAAACTCCGGTTCTTGTGCTGATCAAGACATAGTTAGGTAAATAAATGTGTGTTCTCTCTAATCGTTTAAGCTTTTTAGCATGATATTACAGTAGAGACAGGCTAAGAAAAATCAGTTGAATTTTAGCATGTATCTTTACTACTTGTAATTCACGATGCGTAAGGGTGATCAACTTGAACACTCTACATTGGAAAATCATAACTTTTGATTGTTTCCAGGGAATAACATCCACAACGTAGTGATTGAAGAGTCTTGATCTCTCCATAGTTTATTGATTTATTGTCTTTCAAGGTTTGCAGTTGATTTATTATCATGTTGTCCAAATACTTCGACTCTTCAATAGAGATGATAAAATAACTAAAAATTGAATCTGCAGATCATAGAAGTTTTATTGTCGCGTTCATCCTTCAAGTTTTCACCATATTTCCTCCTCTATGTTACCCCGGGGTTCATGAGCGATACAGTGAAGCAAAATATCTTATTGAATGTCAATAGTTTAGTACGAGGTGAAAGTAAGCAGAGATCTTGAAATGTAAAACAGAATTCATTGTTGAAATGCATCCTGGTTAATGGTGAAACCAGTCTATATGACTGTACACATGATATCCAAACTGTGTGATTTTACTGTCGTTCGTTCATTTATAAATTTTTGAACAAGGGAAACAATTTAGCTTCAAAAATCATCCATGCGGAATTTCAAAAAAAGGAAAAGAAAGCAGAGAGATTATTCGTAGACTTTGCATTCCTTGTCTGCAGGGTTTGTCTTGCAGTAGTCCTCTAAGGCGTCTCCGCTCCCTTCTGCAGCTGAACCGGGCCATTTGTCTGCTACCAGATGAGCTAAGTCGACCACACGTTGGCTGCAATTTTACCAAGTATGATCACAAGTGAATCAACGGTATATGTGTGCTTATGCATGTGTGTTTTTTTAATGTAAATGAGTATTCAGGTTGGTTGTATAAGTATGCGAAATGATTGTGTTCAGGTTACCTGTATCCCCACTCGTTGTCATACCAAGCGACAATCTTGACCATGTCGTCTCCCATAACCATGGTTAAAGAGGAGTCGATGGTGGTGGAAACATCACTGCATCGGAAGTCAACTGACACAAGAGGCTCATCACAAACAGCCAATATGCCATTCAACGGACCGTCAGCTGCCTTTCTGAAAGCTGCATTGACATCTTCAGCTGAAATTCCTTTCTTTTCAACATTTATAACAAGGTCAACAACCGAAACATTAGGTGTTGGCACTCGGAGAGCAATTCCATTAAGCTTTCCCTTGAGCTGAGGTAGCACTAGAGACACAGCCTTTGCTGCACCAGTGCTGGTCGGGACAATGTTCAATGCTGCAGCTCTCGCTCTCCTCAAGTCACGGTGTGATGCATCCAGAAGCCTCTGCATACAACATAATCAAATCCATTCAGCGTCACTGTAAGGTGCACGTTTTCACAAATTCCCCTGTTGTATCGTATATCATGATTACCTGATCTCCGGTGTAAGAGTGAGTTGTTGTCATAGTTCCCTTAACAATACCTACAAAGTGAATGAAAATAGTCAAACAACATACGCAGTGTAATCCTACAAGTGAGATCTGGGAAGGTGGTGCGTACACAGCCTTACCCCTAATTTGTGAAGGTAGAGAGTCTGTTTCCGATGATATAAATAATCGAACATTTAAAACCACATAAATTTGAACAGTATTAATCTTCTGCTTACCAAATTCTTCATCCAGGATTTTTGCAAAAGGGGCCAAGCAGTTGGTGGTGCAAGAGGCATTGCTGCATTTACAAAGGTAGAACATTACTTCAATGTCTTCTTGAACATTAAATATACTCCCTCCGTCCAAATTTATGTGACACAATTTCATTTTTAGTCCGTTCACAAAAGAATGATCCTTTTTTTCAAAAATCTTGCTTTATTTTTTTAAACTATGTGTCCAGTCAAACACGTTCACATAAATTGCACTGACCTTACGATATTGGCAACCTCGTGAGAGTAGTCTTGTTCATTCACTCCAACAACATATGTAGGAATATCAGCACCTTTTGCTGGTGCAGTGATGATAACTTTCTTGGCACCAGCTTGGATGTGCTTCCCAGCACCCGGACCATCAACGAACACACCGGTTCCCTGTAAGTTTTCGAACAACATTATTAGGTAATTTAATCAGCATCTTTTCTCAGGATTCATCATGTTGAAAGTGCTGGACTTGTATTGATCAATCTCGTTGATTTTATCTCGTTAAGCAAATAATGAGTAACTTTTGGAGAATCAGGCACATATCTGACAACATTTTTGAAGGGTCCGAGCAACATAGGTATGCATCAGTCAAATGTTATGATAGGATGAATTATGACATTCGCTACGTTAGTTATGTATATTAGCATGAAAGGTCAAGGGACCTTGTGAAGGCAGAGAGACTGTTTCTGATAGACCCTCGGCTTAGATATTACGAGTACTAAAAGTAGAATCTACCAATAACCGAGGGATCAAAAATGCTATTAACGCGTAGTTTACCTCGATAACAATGTCAATACCAAGTTCAGCCCATGGAAGCTTAAGAGGATCCCTGCTAGAGACAACTTTAATGTTCTTTCCATCAACACTAATAGTTTCATTATCCACTATTTTCACATCAGCCTTGAATGTTCCCAACATGGAATCATACTTAAGCAAGTGAGATGCCTGCATTAACATAATATTTGCAATACATTTAGCATCGTACCGCGAAAAAGTTTGATAGTAAAACCAACAAATGCTATAAATGTGCTGATCTTTTTGCAGGTAATGCTCACATTCTTGACACCACCACTGTCATTGACAACAACGACATCCAGTGGTGAGTCCTTGCGTCCATGCCAACAACGAAGGAAGTTCCTGCCAATTCTTCCGAAACCATTGATGGCAACCTTCAATTTGGCAACTGTTTCTCCTTTCACTGGTCCTGCTGATCCTGTGGTCTGATTTGAGATAAAAGTAAATGAGTTTCAGGAAGAAAGGTACAAAACACTACTGTTTTTCCGTTATATGATAGATGGTCAGAACTTCATTTGGGTACCCGCGTATGGTTCTGGCTGTGTTAATTATAACTTTTAGCGTAACTGATTATTCCTTGCCTCGAGATCAAATTGGTTATTAGCAATGAAAACATAACACACCTTGAATTCGAGACTACTATTTGATATCTTAGTGATGAAACACTGCATTTCTTATCTCATGTTTCACTCCATATGACAACGTAGTGAAAAAAGAACAATCTTTTTAGAGCTTGTTACGTTTAAACATGCCAATAACAGTAAAATGAGACGTTTATGGTGAAAAGGATACAGATATAGAAATATGTCATTCTTCTCAAAACAGACTAATGAGGGAAGAGTGTTTAGTCATAAGTATCGAAAAGATCAATATTCTATTGTGTTTAGTGTTTTGCTTCACGGTCTAAAGCAGATGTTTTACTGAGTAAGAGTGAAAATGCTTACCTTGGGAGTGAGTTGAGCAGACACAACATCAAAAAAGGAAGACTCTTTGTTACAAAATGTCACACATCCACTCGATCGAAGACCAGAGAACTCTGCTACTTCAAATTTCTACAAAAACAACAGATAAATCAACAACAACAACACATTTACTAGAAGAAAAATCTTCTTTTTTTTCGACTTTTTTTTTTTTTTTGGGAAGAAAGCAAAGACCTTAGAGAAGCATTGAGTAGGGAAAGAGTAAGAGTTCTTTGATAGAAGCCTTGTGCTTGTAGGGATTCTTGAAGGAGCCAAAGCTGCATGAGAAGCCATGGTTTTTGTATATTTGACAAAAACTACTTAAATCCTTTGGTATATATATATACTTTTCAAGTTTCACTTTTTTTTAAAAAAAATATATATTGTTTTAAGTTTTGGTTACAAATTGAGATTCAAAAAATGAGTGGTGTATCATCAAGATTAATTTGATAAGAGATAAGATGATCTATGTCCTCATGTATATATGTAATGCAATTTTTTTTTTCCACAATCTCAACCACAAACTGTTGAAAAATTTCATGTTATCCTTTTTACTTACCATAATTGTGGAAACAAATTAAAACATCCTTACAATAATTTTACATTAAGAAAAATGTATCACAAAAAGCCAATTGATAGCAATATACATGACATGGCGATCAGAGACGAATCCAGAATTTGAACATACATAGGGAGTAGGGTGATTTCTCTAGCATATAACAACAACACTAGAGGACTCCTACGCTTTTCATGGGTACACAGTTAATTATATCTTAGTTTCTATCAGTTTCTCAAAATAGTATATTCGTATGTACGTAAACTCCAACTTAGGGTTTGGGTCCGCCTTTGGTCGTGACACTCTTTCTTTTTTTAGTCTACTTCAACAAGAACGACTTCACTTCATACTTCTTGCTTTACCGTGCATGACGTGACTTTATAACTACAAAAGTGTCATGACATGTTTGAAACCACAAATCTCAATCACAACATATTAACCTTGATAGATAGAGTTACCATTGTAATAGACAAAGTTACCTCATACTTTTGCTGATGAAAGATACAAGAATCTGGTGAAGTTTAGCCTTTCATGCGAACAAATTGACTCGACCACCACAATTATAAAAAGAAACACAAATTTAAAAAAGAAAATTGACTCGACCACCACAATTATAAAAAGAAACACAAATTTAAAAAAGAAAATGATCCTTTTAAATTATTTTTTTTTACTTATTTTGTGAAATACCATCACCAAAAATGAAAAGGAGGGAATATTTAACTGTGTTTTTTGGCATTATTCTAGGCAACTGGAGAACTAGTACAAGAATTGTACCACTATCCATTCATTAGAGGACAGGACAATTTAGAGATGGTATTGCAGAAGGATAATATTTTTTTATTTTTTTTGTATAGAAAATAACTCTTATCCACAAAACACCAGTGGTCCTCTGTGATTCATGAATAACCAATCACTTGCAAGTTACTCAATACTTGTGCTCGTGGAAGGTAACAGATACTTGGTAGCAAAAACGTATCGATTGTTCTCCCACTCAACTAACCGTGTGTTATGTCAAACTTGTATTGTCACTTCATATTTGACAGTAATATAGTTTTATAACATAGTCCAGATAAAATGCTCTTGGAATTAGATCAATGTGTTCAGAAAGTTTATTCATTTACATGAAAACCAATTGTAAGTGTTGTTTATATAACACTTTCAACTTCATCTAGGTTCACTGCAGCTCCATTTTCTGCATCCCCGGACCTTAACTGGTTGGAGATGTCGTCAATAGCATCATTCAATTGGACTATCTTCTCCGTTAGTATCTTGCGTTGCTTCTGCAGACGAAACAGCATGCATACATTAGAAGAACTTGAAACAGGAATAAGAATATTGTTTTCTCAAACTTAGATCTTTAGTCCTTCGGCAGCTTTTTTTGTATCCTCCCGGAACTATATGATTCAAGCAAAGTAACAAACTTAGATAAAGGTGATAGGTTTGATGCAACAAGCCTGCTCCTCTTTCTTGCAATTGACAAAGAGAGAGAAACCCTGGAGAAGAAAGCACGACTTTCTTGTATAGAACACCTAACTAGGTTCATTTAAAGACCAAGAAAAACATCGTCTAGCTCCCGGAGGTTGAATAAGTCAGATTGTATTGCAGCTAACAGTTGCTACTGTTGTACGTTTTGCATCTCTAGATGCCAGTAATGAAACATCTTACTTAACAAAAAAAAAGAAGACGAAGAGTAGCATCTATATATAGTTAAAACGAAAGTTTTCTAAAAAGGGAGTATCAAAGCATCATTTAACTAGTAATCAAACAAAACTTCAGTTCTAAAACAATCGAACATTTTCACCCAGAGGTGTGGCCTAGTTGTTAATAAAGTGGGGTGAGAACCACGAGGTCTCAAGTTCAAATCCAGGGGAGACAAAAAACACAAGGTGATTTCTTCTCATTTATCCCAATTACATGGTACTTGGTACTTGATGCTAGTGGGAAGTGAAAAGTATCCCGTGGACTTAATTGAGGTGCATGTAAGCTGGACCGGACACCAAGGTTATCAAAAAACACTGTAGAACATCCTTGGTTGGGGGTGCTTCAAATCTTAGCAATGACTGGTCACAGAGTATCTTCTCTAGCCTTTGTCTTTATATCTCTTGCAAGGTACTTCGTCTCATAAGTTCATGACTACAAAACGGAACTTACATAAACTACCAAATCTCAGCAATCAGGATTCAGGACCATTTGAAGATCCACGAAGGAAGACTCCAAAGCGACAGATAGCTACAACTTAGAGGATTACACTTGTAAGGAGGGATTTAATCAGCCAGAATAGAGGACTCTGATATAATATGTGTGTTTGTTGTGTGTCTCTACACTCGCACGAAGCGCGAGCGTGCACGACCAAAAAAAAGACACTATTTCTCTTTCTTACTGCTTCCTAATAAAAGACGTACATAATATTAACTTACCTCCAATGCTTTTTCTTCATCATATATAAACTTTGGCAGTTTTCTCATGAGGTCCTTCCTATCTGTTTCGGCTAATGCCTTGCTAATCTGTAGAAGAGAAATTAAAGGGCAGTCAGCTTACTGCTCCCAGGTACACCGCAAGAGATGAAATGTGGAGAAGGCATTAATCAATGAGTGATGTGGCAAATTCACAAGTATTAACGAGCAAAGACGACCAAAGGCAGTGACTAATACAAGTGCTACTGCATTTTACCCGAAAATAAGTTAGTTTTAGCATAAAATGATTACCTCTGGTGCGAAGATACAACCAAGTGCACCAACGATTACTCCTCCTAAAAGAAAGCCACCTACAAAGATGCTTGAATTGCTTGGCCTCCCCCCATCACTGCCAATTAACAAGAAAGACTCGGTGGATCACCAATGTATGAAAGAAACAGAACTACAACACTCTTTTTCCTATTTAATGGCAAGAGCCAGGTTTGCTTCTGTCACTCAGGAATCAATTGGATTTATAGTTTTGCAGAACAACGGTCAGAGAAAACTAAATAATTGAAGGAGCAGGAAGGTTCTTTTGAGTTGATTTGGTCTAATTAAAGCTCACACTAACTTATTGAGATGAAAATATCATCTACAAGAAAGACAAGTGAGTGTGACAACCAAACAAAAAGAAGTGTGGTATATCATCAATGTATAAGTTGCACGAGTAGAGCACGTAAGAACAAGAGAAGCAGTACCTATATTCTGCTTGAACGGTTAATGATCTTCTAGATGAGGATGATTTTCCTCCGTGCCTTGGACTGAAGGCCAATTTGGTGGTGCCACCGACACTTTTATCTGCCGACTTCAAACTGGACCCTAGCACATCAAAAGTTACTGGACTTATATCACATCACTCATGTAGGTTTGGGTGAAGAGGGAGCCATCAATGCAGCATATGATCATGTACTACTAAAACCAATCATATTAGTCATGAGAATTTTTAGCTTCATGCAGTTCCACAAATAATTCGAACAAAAAAACACACAATTCATTTTGAATCCAACAATTTTCATTTAGATGTTATGCTTAAAGAATTGAATAAGAAGCATGGAAGGTCTTTGAATCTTATCATGCACCTTATTTTAATGTAGTATTGAAACAAACATATGCACCATTTTGCTTAAACATGTTTGGAGAACTATTGAATCTTGTGGACTTAAATTAGAGATGTTAACATACCAAAACTACCCTCTGAATCTTATCATGCACCTTATTTTAATGTAGTATTGAAACAAACATATGCACCATTTTGCTTAAACATGTTTGGAGAACTATTGAATCTTGTGGACTTAAATTAGAGATGTTAACATACCAAAACTACCCTCTGAATCTTATCATGCACCTTATTTTAATGTAGTATTGAAACAAACATATGCACCATTTTGCTTAAACATGTTTGGAGAACTATTGAATCTTGTGGACTTAAATTAGAGATGTTAACAT